TAGGCGGTCGGATGTGTCGTTTTATTATTGATTCTGGGTCCTGCGATTGTGAACCCTACTGAGGTTGTAGCAAAGCTTGGTTTGTCGACGGAGAAACATCCAGATCCTTATGCTCTCGCATGGATATAGCGTGACAACGCTGTCCCTGTTGACCGACGAGTGTTGGTGTCTTTCATTATTGCTTTTGCGTATAAGGATGAGGTGTAGTGTGATGTAGTGCCGATGGATGATTGGCACCTTCTCTTAGGGCGTCCTTGGCAATTTGATCGCGCCGTGTTGCATAATGGGCGCGTTAACACGTATGCGTTCTTGTTTGGGGGCACCCGCTTTGTTTTACATCCCTCGGCCCCCTGTTCGGTTCCTTGGCCACCACCTTCAACAGCTTTATTCCTTCCTCGCGTAGGGCCGTGTGAGGAGATGTTCGGTTCGTTGGTCGACCGTTCGATGGTGTTTGATGTGGGCGACTTTGCGTGGGTTGTTTCTACAACGGACGGTCGGCTCGGCCCCTACGAGATTGTCGAACACTTTAGTCCGGATGCCTACCGTCTCTGTTTGTCGTCACATGTGTGTTCGCCGAATGTTTTCCATGTGACAAAGTTGGCCCCTTTGCAGCTCGGCGACTCCGACGGAGACGAGCTCGGTTCGGATTCGAGGGCGAATCCTTCTCAACCGGAGGAGGATGATGGAGACGAGCTCGCAACAGCTTTTCTGAACAAATACGATCGGCTCCGAGTCTAGTTTATTTATTTCTTATTATATTTTCCTTTTAGTGCATTTTATTTCCTTAGATATTTAATTAGTAGATAAATAATTATCTTGGTAGTCAAGATATGTTAGGACTCTTGTTACTTTTATCTGGCTTGGGGGAAACAGAACAAGACAGTTTTGATGAATAATACGTGACACCCTGCCCTACTAGTCTTTAAATACTGAAAATCAGAGTAAAATTTTTTCTTTTATTTTCGAAAGGTAGTGCGAGCTTGGTTTTTGAAAATACTAACTTGTTTGCGGGATGCTACGAAAACTTTCTTATCTTACTCATGCAGACATAAATAAAACATGCAACCAAATCGATCCACTATGGAGAATGGAATGACACATGCAATGTCCGACTGACTCGCGCTGTCTAGTCTAGCGGAAGCTGAACTGAATAATACATAATACACACACCCATATTATACATACTAATACATAATTGGGAGTTTTAAAACATAAAATGTGTGTAAAAATGTCCACTGTTCAAGACCACGCTTGCCACGTCTTCTCACCCGGCACGCTGGACTCCGACACCTGAAATAAGAAAGACTGTGGGATTGTGAGCACATCTGCATGCTCGTGGGAAAAAAACTGGAACTGTAATAATCTTAACTGCAAACATAAACTTAAAAGCAGCATAAAACAAATAAGTTGTACTAAAACTGTAAACTTTTCTTAAACTTTGGCTTTGGTCAAACGACCCTTACTCGGCCCTCGGCCGCTCGTGTGCACACCTCGATGGGATATTAAGGCCCTTGGCCTCAACCGGTACCAGGTGCAACTATGAAGGCCCTTAGGTCGGCCTCTCACCTGGGAGAACTAACTGTCTCGAACATACCTCTGTCATGGTACATATATTATACATGATGTCGAATCCAGTACATGACCACGCCACATCTCCGCAAGACCAGTACTGAATAAAACAGCATTTATAATAACGTGTCATGAACATAAATATATAAGAGCTTAACTGTAAACTTTTTCTTTTCTTGCTTTACTGTGGTCAAAAGACCCTCGGCCCTCGGCCGCTCGTGTGCACACCCCGATGGGATATTAAGGCCCTTGGCCTCCACCAGTACCAGGTGATACTATGAAGGCCCTTAGGTCGGCCTCTCACCTGCGAGAACTAACTGGACCACAAACGGGATAATTCAACCGTCTGGGTAAATATCTTATTCACGTACCTTATACAGGATAACTGAAATGCGCGATGTAACGCTCTGTAAAGGCTCCCACCTGATATGCTAGAGATATCTATTGTAAGTGCTTGAATACTGAAGTCGCTGTCGGAGGCTCGACTCTCCTTTAGCTACATAAACATATAAACAAATATATGCTAAGTATATGTTCGGAATGCTTAATGATATGCTATGATGCTCGGTTCTATTCAATCATTTAGTCGGATGAAAAGAGAACGCTCTAATGGTCCCCTATAATATACTAAGTCCGGATTTTAAACTGGCATATTTGACTGGATTGGTTTGGCTCGGAAAAATACTAAAATTCCAAAAGGAGACTCGGACCGAAAGTCACGAATCAAAATGGACTCGAACCGCCAGTCGAACCAGCCGGTTCGCTGACTGGCCGGACCGCCGGCTCGACTGAACCGGTGCCCCTTGGGTGCATGTTGGGCACGGCCGAGGTCTACTGAGGCCCTATCGTGTGGCTGTGCACAAATAGGTGCGAGTTGACGCGGGCAGACGCGGACAGAGGCCACACGGGCGCTGGTCCGGCGTCCTCGAGGTCACTGGGCACTCGGGGGTGCTACTGGGCACGCACCGAGGCCTACTGGGCTCAACAGACCCGACTTGGGTCGATACTGGGCATGGCGCGAGACCTTGTGCGTTGGGGCTGGCACGGCGCTGCCGGGCACCGTGCATGTGGCCTTGGCACGTTGGGTGTCGTTGCCACGCATGCTAGCACTACTCTGGGCTTACTCCGCGCGGGGCACGAGCGGCTAGCTCGACACCACGCGTGCATGGGCGTGGACAGCACTGCCGGGCACTGTCGGAGGGTGCTGGGCACGACTAGCACCAAGGTCTCGCACGCGGACGCAGACAGACACTGCTGGACGCTGTCGCGTGCACTGAGGGTGCAGTACCTCGCACTTGTTGGGCGCGGGCACAGACAGACACGGGGCCGGGCACTGCCGCGCTATATGCGCGGCCAGCGACCATGGTCGGCCCTTGCTGGACCTCCGGTGACATGCATTACATAAAACTCAATATGATGAAATAGCCACAAAAATGCTAAGAGGCACTAGTAGACCCCGGGTCTACATGCATGTTGCTCGGTAGGGCCTAAATGGCACGCATGAGCACTAACTCATCGAACCAACTAGAAATTCTTAAACATATGATGATGGCCGAGTGATTAGCATCACAAACAATGGCTAATGAGGCTGAAATGGTAGCTTAAACTAGCATGCATGATGATATGGCTCGAGAGGGCTGATGAGACTCGTGGCTACACTAAGTCACCGAACAAACATTCTCAACTTACAATTTCACTTAGGGCCGAATATTTAACATAAAATATGATGACTTTGAGGGCTAAGACATGGGTCATAACTTGCATGCATAGCACTAAGGCTCTGGGGTCTAAATTAACAAATTTTCATGAACAAGTTGACAGAGGCAATGAACTCTAATCATGCTCAAACTTTTACACCATCAATGACATAATATATGAGGGTGATTAAGCTATTAATCTCGACTTAGGCATGCATGCAACTCAAATTCCAAGTTTAAGGCCATAAATTCTTAAAATTCGGAACTTATACTTAAACACATGCATGGCTCGATTTTACTTCATGATAAATCTTATTATATCATAAAATAGCTATGAGAGAAAGTTGGCTCGGGCTAACCTTCCCCAAAAATGAAAAAAAGGGCGAGAGGGACTTAGGCTAGGCTTGCTCGCGGCTTTTGGGAGTGTGGCTTGCTTTGAGGTGGAAATGGTTGAGCTAATGAACTCCAAAAGACTTATAAAAATCAAAGAAATACTTAGAAGTCACTAAGACTCGTGGAAAAATGGCTGGAGCTTGCTGCAACTCGGACTCCTCCTTCCTTGGCCGTGGGCGCGTGCGCGGGTGCACAAGGTAAGTGGCTCTCGAATTTTTCTTGATTCCTCCCTAAGTGCTCGAGTAACCAAGAGTCTAAGAGCTGTAAAACGGCTGAGGAATGATCCTTTTAATGGTTTAGGGGCAGAGGTAACAAGGTGTGAAGGTGGAGAGAATTTTTAAGTGGAAAACTCTACTCCACTTGCATGGGAACTTGAGTGGGTGATGGGGCATGGTCTTGGGCTGACTTGCACGATTTTTTGTGAGCTTCATGATCTTCAAGGTGAGTTTTTACTGAACACTATGAGTGGATAAGAGGTCTGGTCAGATTTCATGGGTAGTGGGGGACATTTACTTCATCCAATGCATTAAAATAATCCACAATGTTTCCCACTATTTAGTTAAAGCTAAAACGAGTTTGACCAAGACTTTCTTGGGGACATGTGGGCTGAATTAACACCTTAAGAAGTGGGTTGCATTGTCTCAAAATTGGGCTCGGTGAAAGTGAGCCGGAGGTTGGTGAAATGGGCCCGGAAAGGTGGGCTGACGCTGTCTGGGCGCGTGCTGGCGCTGGGCTTTAGCCTTTTTCTTGTGATTAAATGACTTAGAAAAATATACCAATGATATACTAAGGCTTGGACAAGTCTTGGGTAAGGCCATGGCTTGGGTTCGAGCCTCGAGTGTGCGACCAAGGTCACGCGCACGGCTATGGTGCGGCCCGGGGTCTAAGGCTTGAATTTTGAAGTTTTTGAGTACTTAGAATTATTCTAAGTATTATACTACTATGACTTGGCAATGACTTGCGAAAAGTACTCGATAATGACTTGAAATTTATTCGGATCGAGACTATGGTTCGAGGCTAAAATTCTCGAGTCGACTAGATTACACTTTTCAACCCAAATTAATGGATTGATCTTGATCTCGTCACGACTTAGAAAATTCTAAAGAATAATCTAACATAATTGAGCATTTAGCATATAATTTAATAAATCTTGAATTTTTAGAATTTACGAATTTCACTTAAAAGTTGAGTAGTGAAAAATCATCTTAATAATATAATAATGATCGGGGCGTTACATAATATTTCTGCGTTGTGAACTTTTGTGAGAGAGTATCTCATATTCTTCCCAATTGTACTATGCTCTACATCACAAACCTTAAAGAGATTTTGTAACACTTTAAAGGGGCATTTAAAATTTTTGGGAACTAAGGAGAGTTTTCCATGACCAGACAAAACCTCAACCTCAGGTTTAGTTTCTATAATTATCCTTACAAATGCATAACACAAATGGTTCTCTTATCTACTTACAGAAAAGCTCATGAATTATAACTAATGGTCAACATCAATACCCATCGAACCAAAATTAAAAATCAAAACATTGAACTTTACTAACCTTGTATAAGTGGGGATGACAAAGAGCCAGAAACCCATCTAATAATAAAAATGAACAAATTGTATATGCAGAAACACAATTTCATAATAAAAGATGTATCTCAATCAACCTCGACCGTCTATATCAAAACCAGCCCCAGTCCAGCCAGGACCCCTACCCTTAGTCACAGCTCCTACTCCTTTAATTCTCCCTTGAGTAGAGCTCTTCTTCTTTCCTCTTCCTTCCCCACCATTAAAACTCGGTGGGTTTTGGCCATTTATAGCTGTGTTTTCTCCACTAGATGTGGTTTTTGTTGATCCACTGGAATGTTGTGATGTACAAGCAGTGGATGGATCTTGAGTTGTACCAGCCGGCATGAGTATTACATTCTTGTCCTGAAAAATGGGATTTTCGCTAGAGCTGGAGTATTATTAATCGTAGGTGAGTGACACGATCAATTACACAATCTTATACATCTGTGTTAGAAGAGAACAATAATGCCAGCTGGCTGAATTACTAATAGGTGAAGTATTTGGTTTTGCGCATCTCTACCTATGAGCATGCAAAAATTAGAAAATGAAACTATGAGCAAGCAATAAGTTCATGTTACTATTTAGTCAGTATTATTTGATTAATCCTAGTAATTCATAAAAAAATGATCAGGTTTCTGTACCTACAAATTCCTATGGCAGGTATATTTGGAATGTCGAGCAAGTTATTCGCAGTTTGAAACGTAAAATTAGTTAATTAAAATATTACAATGATGTTAATGATAAGTTAATACGTGAATGCACATGATAATCACTTTCACTTATTTTTGTCGGACTTTGGGAATTTAAGAAATTCTGACAAACAATAACTATCAGCGAGAAATCGGAAGTGGCCACAAAGGAGATAATGAAAGATATAATCAAGATTCTCATATCTATTGATGAATTTCACCTACAAAGGATGAACTGGACAAAGAGTAAACAGCCCAATTACGAGAACTCATTGATGAAAATACAAGGTAAGAGAACCTTACAGAGGAAACAGATGAAGATGATCTGCTTGGGTTCAGAGCCTCCAGTCGGCGTTTCAATTCCTCCAATCTAGAAAGCTGGGTGTTGCTACTTTCCTGGACCTGCAAAAGAATATCTTTTAATATAAGCACCATAGAATAAACAGGACATGTTTCTATAAAATTCTTTTCACCAGTTTATTCAAATCTTCACAAAGCTTCTGTTTCGCTGCTTCCTCATCTTGCACAACTTTAGCTGCAGCTTCCCAAGCCTTGTAATTGGTAGAATAATTATCAGATATAGTAATATAAATAGAAACAAGTGATCTCGTTTCAGAAAGAAAAAGAATGGAAAGAGACATAAAAGTGTACAAAGAATTGAATCACTAAGAGACCTCAAAATTTGTACTGTGAACTAAGAGTAGTAACATAAAAATGAATAAGACTTCTTTAATTATCAGGTGAAATTCCTTGGTTTCACATAGAAATATATCAGGAAGCATGATTGCAATACTATTTTTTATGCTTTAGAAAGTTTTAACTGTTTCATATAGACATGGTAATTTTTTGCCAAAATATAGCATTTAGCACTCTAAATGAGCAAAGCACCATGGAAGACCTCAGTCCCTCTACTTTCCAGTAAGAATTTGTTCATTCGATTTGTTGTGGATTGTTTGCGTGATTCGTTGAAGATAGATAAGCAAGCAAATCCACAAAAAGAGAAAGATGTTAAGATCTAGAAACACCTAAATAAAGGACATAAGAAATAGAGTAAGCGTTCATATAAACTGCATAGTCAGGTGAATCACAATTCATAACCATGAATTTAAATTACAACAACAACAACATACACAGTATATTCCCAACAAGTTGGGGTCTGGGGGGTCAGTTGTACGCAGACCTTACCCTTGTAATTATACAAGGAGGCTGTTTCCGTAGCGACCCAAGGTGCATTGCGCCGTTTGATTTTTTTTTTTTTTTTCTAGAAACTTCACTAATAGAAGAAGCACTAGAATTTGATTGAGCCATTTTGATCTAGTCCATTATTAGCACTATGCCATGAGAATTGTCAACAATGACTCTTCTAGCTCCATTTGCAATGGACAAAATAACCATGAATTTAAATTAAAGTTCAGAAATATATAGATCATAAAACAGCAAAATATATAAACAACCAGAACAAAGAAGCAAAAATGCAATTACTGTTCAGATTTCGTTCTATAGATATATATAAATATAAATTCACCGACATGAAATGAAAATTCAACAAAAGAATCCTCATGTAGGAACCAAGTGAGCAAAAATGAGATTCGAGAAGTAGCATAATAGCGTTTACAGAAACAAACTGCAGAACAGATTTAGCGAATTCATTCTACAAAACGTTTATAATGAGTAATTTAATCATCGTATACTTCTTAAAACTGAGCATTGATCAGTAAAATAGATGAAAACTATCCATAGGTCTAATATGGTAATTCAAGAATGTTTCATGAGTTTCCTGTATCGTGGCCATACCATCAACAATTTTATCAGTAATCAATTCCTGCTTTCTTTTACGATACAAGGACATACCTTTTTAGCTTGTTCTTCTTTGAGTTTAGCAGTACGAATTCTCTCTGTTGACATTTCTATTTTCTTTCGCATGTGTTCAAGTGCTGCCACAGATATAAAATTCAGAAAGCTACTCGGAAAGCTAGTCAGAAGTCATCCATGGTCAACGATATCCATACCTGCTTTCTTTGGTCCAGCAGTAAGCTTCATTTCCATTGATAGATTTACTAATTCTCGTTCAACATCACGAATCTTGGAGTAATTTTCATCAATGTATCTAGATGGATGTACATAAACTATTATGGGATCCCTACATAAGGTGAAACTTATATCTAGACATTTAATTAGCCGGTCAGGATATCGATACATTAGTACTGAATTAAGTAGCTCCGTGGACAGAGAACTACTAGAAACAGATTCTTATTGTTTCCTAGAGAAATAACGGAAAACCTACAAAACGATGTCTCAAATTTTGACCAAAAACCTGAAGCTTTACGAAACGTATCTTATATTTTCGGACAAAAAACCATTTTAGCAGGAAAACATGTCAATTTAATTATGCTCTACTGGTAGGATCCCATCCAGTTGAACATTGTTTGGTACTCAAATCTATAAGATATGAAATGACAACGAATGATTTTCCAAGATCATAACAAGTGAAACTCTTCTAAGAAGCAATTGAATTGCTCTAAACTTATGTTTTCAATAACATTAAGGGACGAAAAAAATGATCAATGTGTAATGGGGTTCCTTATCAGGACCTAACTTTATTTTCCATGCTCTAAGAACATAAATATTTAAAATCTCAGCTCTCATTTTGCTTATATGGTCCCCATACTCTTTCTGCTTGACCTTTTTAAATTCTGATTATCGACATTGCTGGCGAAAGTTGAGGAAAATGATACACTATAACCCGAGAGGATTTGATTTAAGAAACAATACGAGTCCCATGGAAAAGGATACATATTCTTCTGTCCATAAAATCTAATTCAAATATCTCCCTATCATCAATAGCAGCACCACACAATACACAACACTGCAAGTTTTCCTAGATAGTTAGCTCCTACACATGTGACCGACAAAATAGTAATTAATTTCCAAATGAAAAGTCATAATTAAAATCTAAAGCACAAACATTAATAAATACACAACATGAATACTTCAGAGCAGCAAAGTACACTGTTACAAAATGGTCACTTATGTATAATAGAGTCTGAATGGAGGACGCCAATCCATAAGCAGTCATACCAAAATACAAGAAAATATATGAATTTTATATCCAACAGGAATTACTGAAATGGTGATTAAAGTCAACGTACTTCCTTAACTGAAGCTGTTCTTCCTCAATTATCTGAAATCCAAATGCAATTTGAAAAATAAAATCAATCACCCAAGTTCTTTCATAATTTGATATGCAAATGACTAAATAAATAATATTTCGAAAGGCATGAAGGGTAATAACCTTCACGGTGTAAGCAATGACGGGTGACTCTTGCGCCAGGCCATCAGGCCCGATCTCCGGAAGCAGCAATGAACTCGCATGGTTGTTCGGGCTCAGATTCAGGTTAGTAGCCATAAAAACAAATCTCATCAATCAATCACCACCTCGCCTTTCTTTTCCTCTCAACGGCGTGCGAAATTTTACAGAGGGGGCGGGCCGCGAGACAGAGTCCAGATAAAACTCTGGCAACAAGCGAGATGCACTTTGATTATGATGGCGTAAAAACTTTCTTCCGCCGCTGGATTTGTGGCTTCTTCACGACGGAGCAATTGCCGGGGAGATTCATTAATGGCCTAGTCAAAGCCATATATTATGGGTGACAGGTGAGTTTGTTTACTTTGAGTGATTGAGCTTGATTAATTCCCGTAAAAAAATTGAAGTGATATCTTTTTGATAAAAAAATTTATTAACTTGTTTGGTTCATAATTGATAAGGATAGTATTTATATGAAGATTACTTTTTTTACTTTTTGGTTAAAGTTGAATTTTATAATGTTGTCATTCTTCTTGTTTATCTCTTTCTCCTAACTAGTATTTGATCTTGTGCATTTGCACATATGTAAATAAAATGAAATCTTATAAGTTATATTTATGTGTATGATATAAAAATTATAAGTTATATAATTGTATTATATTTCAAACATATAGTATTGTAAGTTATATTTATGTATATAATATTAAAATTATAAATTATATAATAGTATTATATTTTAAAATTTGATCATTAGTTAAAATAAATAGAACACACGATTTGATTGTATACGAATCACTATATTGATTGCATAAAATGCAATAAATATATACTTTTTATAATTTTGAGTGATCATGACCAATTAATTAGCAGAAAAATATTACATTTATTATAACAATTGCTTATGTGATTTTAAGAAATTTTACTATGACATAAAAACATTAATTTATTAATAAACAACATCTTCATCATATAAAAAAATATTGATTTTAGTGTAAAATATAATTTTATGTAACTTTCATATTTAGTATAAAATATAATTACTAATTTTAATATTAACTATTATATTATTAAATAAAAAATATAATTATTAATCAATTAACATAAAATATAATAGTTTTTGTCTTAATTAACCCAAAAAATGTAATGAAATATTTTCTTATTAATGAGATTGGGTGTATTAATGCCACATAAATAAAATTTATTAGGTTCTATTTATTAGGTTTTATTAATGATTTGCCACATAGGTAAAATTTATTAGGTTTTATTTATTAGGTAAAATTTATTGCTTAGCTAGCAATTATATATATATAGATTCATCCAAAAATAGAAAATAAATTGCCCTTACCTAAAACGGATCAACTCTATCTCTTTCCCCCAAATTCATTCAAAAAAATTAATGGCCCTTATACTCAAAGCCGACCGGCTTATACCGTAAAGATCCGTTCGATTTCTTCCTGTGCGGTTTCTTTCTCCCATCTTCTAGTTTCTGTCATAAATTAATTTTGTCCTCTGCAATTTTATTCCCCACCTTTTAGGTTTCTTCCATAAATCGATTTGTTCCTTCTTTCATAAATCGATTTGTTCTCTGCGAGATTCCGATCGGCTTTTTCAGAAATATCCTTTCAATTTCCGCGACGGTGTGATAACAGGAGAGATGTGGGGGATTCTCCTGAGGCATGGCTGTCTCTAGTCTCTGGTCAACGCCCTTCGACAAAGTGTTTGTGGCTGAGACAGGGTGGCCGAGCGACGCGAGTCAGAGATGTACTTGAAGGTGCGACATAAGAACAGTAGCTGCAATGGATCGAAGGGTGGTGGGGCTGAATTGGAGATTATGTAGTAGAGGAAGAATTTAATTGAGACAAGAAATAAGGGGCATTTGTTGGAAATTTAAAGATCAAATTTTGATGGATTACACATCCCACCTAGAAGGTGGGATATGGTATAATGAAAATGTTGATTAAATTTCGGGTTAGGTGCCTTTTTACAGGGCTTTTATGTTTGAACCGAACAAAATAATAAGAAGGAAATAGTATGAAATGGCTTGATATCACTCCCTATCAAGCCTACCAAACGGACCCTATATATATATATAACCTTCTTAACAATTTTCCTATAAAATGACAAAATTATCGTTAATGAATGGTTTTTTATGGAGTGTATTTAGTTGGGATTTCTAAAAGCTTTTTAAAATTTTAGAAATTCTGGTGTGTTCAATTAATAAGACTTTTTAAGACTTAGTCTTGAGATACTTAATTGAGATTTTAAAAAGTTTTACAAAATCTTAAGGTATTTACTTATTTGAGACTATGATTTGTTAAGACTTTTTAAGATTTTGTTGAACTTCAAAAGAAAAACCTTATATGAAATCTCACATCAAATCCCACCTCCAGACTTAAGATGTCACAAAATTTCTCCAAAATCTAAAAATTTTAAAAAGTCTCAAACGAAAGGCACGTTAATTTATTCCAATTGAGTACACCCTCCTAGTAAATCATCTCTTTTTGTATTTGCATATTCAAAAGGCACATTAATTTATTCTCAATTTATATATTCTTATAATATCTTCATTGTTACCAGGCTCTGATACCATTTTTTCGAAAGAGATTCTAAACTTGGAAACGACATTTTTATGCCGAGTTTAAACGAGTTAAAGTCCATGCGGAATTCCGAACTTACATATTAAGTTTTATTTTTTTTCAACCTTTTCTTTATTCCTTTTAGAAAGTTGACTTGCTTTTGTCTCTAGTAGAAAGTTTCTTATAATCATTTTTCTTAATTGTTAATCCATATTTCAGGTTTTTAAGATTTTCTAAAAGATCTATTCTAATATTTGTTAGTAAATTGAGTGTAAATATGAGTTTGGTTCAACAAATTTCATATAATTGGTATTTGGACAACCACTTTCAACCACTATACTAAATATTTCCATCCAACTCAACCACTTGATACCATGCGTCGAGAATAATTGGTGGAAAACTCAACAAATTTTCCTAATTTCCAACCACTAACATGTTGCACATGTGCTATATACATATGTGTTGCAAGAAGGAGAAAATACAGAAGAAGTGAAGAGGAAATCCGGGAAAAGGAAGGAGGAGAAAATAGAGAGAAACAATAAAAATATAAAAATATTTATTTGTTATCAAAATAACAAAAGAGAGATATTGTTATTTATATTTTTAAGTGTTCAATTCTCGACTCCGATCCAGTTCGCCGGAGCTCGTAAATCTGGTGTGCTACAGATTTAGATACGTTTGCCGTTGTATCTTTGGGGAAGTTACGCCTGAACCGTTAGCAGCCACACGGGGCGTATTCTTCTTGCGGAAAGAATTTACTCGCCTCGGCTAAAAATCTTTTTGTTTTGTTTTTAAGTTGTTATTAATTTCCGGTTATATTGTATTTTTCTAATATAATTCAGTTCATAGGTATCCTGTGTGTATTTCAAAATAAATAATATCCAACAATCGCAAGAAGAATATCGAGACCTACTGAACTGATGGCATCCACCGAAAAAGGTTCACAAACTCGAAGATGATTAACCACGGTGTTCATAATCATCATGTACCTGCTGTCAATATCCCCACTACTGAGAGGCCGGAAAAAATAAAATAAAATAAAATAAAATAACGGGCTTGATTTCAAGAGGGGGCAGAAGGAGATGCACTTTTACCACACCACCTTGGGTTTGGTGAAGTACTTGAAGGACGACTTTATGGTCAATGCTGAAAATGAAACCAATGCTGAACTACGCACTGCGTACGAGGCTTGGGGGCAATGTGATTACTTTTGCCGTAATTATGTCCTGAATGGACTTAGTGATGAGTTGTACATTGTGTACATCTCGGTTGGTTCTGCCAAAGAGCTTTGGGCTGCTTTGGAGAAGAAGTACAAGAGTGATGATGTCGAGGCGAAGAAATTCGTCGTTGGCAAATTTCTTGACTTCAAAATGTTAGACACTAAGACCTTCGTGTCTAAAGTGCATGAGTTTCAACTCATTTTGCATGATATTCGTGCTGAAGAAATGTCTCTGAGTGAGTCATTTCAAGTTGCGACTGTTATTGATAAACTGCCGTTGGTTGAAAAGACCGACTTTGATATGTCGGCAGTGGTGTTTGAAGCCAATATGGTGGATAACTCAAGGGAGTGGTACATCGATACTGATGTCACTCGTCATGTGTGTTCCGATAAGAAGGTGTTCTCTGAATACACTCCTGCTACGGGTAGGAAACTTCACATGTGAAACTCAGCCACGTATAATGTGGCTGGAGTGGGCACTATTGTGCTGAAGCTAACTTCTGGAAAGAAGTCGATACATCAAATACATTTTTTATTGTATGTCTATATGTAGACGATATGTTGATCATGGGGAGTAGCCATGAAGTGATCATGGATATGAAAAGAATGTTGAAAAGAAATTTCGACATAGAAGATATGGGTTTGGTTGATCTTATCCTTGGAATAAGGATTATCAGACACCAAGATGGAATTGTCTTGTCACAATCTCATTATGTACAGAAAGTGATCAAGAAATTTGATGTCTATGACGGTGCACAGTCTAGGTGTAAGACACCCCTTGATCTTAGTATAAATCTGGTAGCCAATAAAGGTTAACCAGTGGCTCAGTTGGAATATTCGCGGATAATAGGGAGTCTGATGTACTTGACGAATTGTACAAGACCAGACTTGGCCTATCCGGTGAATAAGTTGAGCAGATTTACAAGCAATCCCAATCATGAGCACTGGAATGCTTTGAGAAGGGTACTTAAGTACTTAAAGTATACTCTTGAATTCGGGCTAAAATACTCGAGATACTCAGCCGTACTTGAAGGGTATGTTGATGTAAGCTGTATATCGGATTTAAGAGATTCTCACTCCAATAGTGGATATGTTTTCTGTATTGGAGGAGGTGTTGTTTCGTGGAAATCCACAAAACAAGCGGTATAACTCGGTCAAATGGAATCGGAGTTCATCGCTTTAGAAAAAGATGGTGAAGAAGCCGAGTGGCTTAGAAATTTTGTATTCCATGTTGGAATAAGACTTTGCCATCTGTGATGATGTTATTTCCATTGACTATGTGAAGTCTAAGAAAAATTTGGCTGATCTTTTGACGAAAGGGTTGAATAGAGATCAATTGGGAAGTTTGCTAGAGGGAATGGGCTTAAAAATCCACAATTTAAAGAATGATCATAGTGGTAACCCTACCATGCTGAGTGGAGATCCCACGAACTTGGTTCAAAGGGAAAACTGTAACGCCCCGTTTTATTTTTAAGAATTTATCG